TGCAAAGTTTAAAAGCTGTGACCTTTTATTTAGCCAAAAATCAAACTTTTCGGTTTAATTCAGAATCTAAGTTGTCCCAAATTGTGCTCTTGGGGAGCCTCCTTTAAATTTACGAGACGGACATTTTGTTGAAAACCGGAAGGTTCTATTTATTTTACTTTTGGAGATATTCCCCGGCCGGTAGGGTTTGCTGGGTTGATTTATTTAAAAATTGTATCTATAATTGGGGTTGAATTTAAAACATTTGCATAATGTTTCAATAAATTTTATTGTAACATCAAAAATCGAAAATTGAAATGTTTGCCGCTCCGCGCATATTTAAATTTCGAAAAATCGAGCGCTATAACAAATGTTTTTATTACATTTTCAATATGTATATATATTATGCGGTTTGTATAAATATGGTGTAAACCGCGTGTCTTTTGATATCTTTCTGCTTGAAATCAAATACTTTTTACTGCATACTGGATTAATTATTAACTAAATAAAAAGCCATGTAGCTGAGACACCTCACAGCAAGTAAATTAAAGTGGCTCTTGCATGTGAAATGTGTATCAACTACTCGTACTCGCCGAAGTGGTGGGTTGGGAGTCCCCCTGGGATTAATTATTAACTTCAAAGTAGGTAGTGCTTTTGCCAAAAAGCGTAATTTAGTGTACACTGCGTGAAAGTCTAATAAAAGCTCCACTGCTGATTTGTCCCCCTACTCCTGCCGAAGGTAAAAAGATCGTAGGGAATAAGTAATCGGGTTTGGATGTAAGTAAAACAAAATTTTTAACTTACAAATTTTGTTTTACTACTGCAACTATAGCTCTTTTAACTGCACTTATAGCAGCCTTTTTATGGAGCCTTTCTTGTAGTGTCTTTCAGTACATGCAAGGTGGTAGAACGACTGCCTCTCAAGAAGTAGGTCTGGGTTCAATTATAGGAGAGAGCTAAGGATTCATTTACATTTTTGCAACGTCATTCACCGGTAGATTTAGCCGAATTTTCTGGAAAATTTGACTGAAAGTTAAATGAAGATCCTCAAGGAGGGGCCATTCAATATCATGGTCTGTGCGATGTCAGGGAGTGAATTAATTTCACGAGAGTTAACAAGGTACAGGAAATAACAAGATAAGATAAGATAAGATTTAAAATTATGCCTCTCTGGGCATCTCATATACAAATATAATTACTTCAAAACTGTAAAATTTACGTTTAATAAACTATTAAAATATAAAAATAAAAAGAAGTTAACTGAAAACTTCTTGGCTGATAAGTGCCTAAATAAGGCCTTTTAAATTGACCTTCTTCCTTTTAGCTATTATTGGATTATCATTCATATAATTTACATAATTACTCCTATGAGCTACAGTAACATCAATTCTATCAAATATATCATATGAAAGTTCCCAGTGATGACCAAGCTTATTAGCTCGATATCCACTAAGCCGAAAGGCATCTAATCTAATTTTGTTTAAAAAATTGTAGTAGAGTGCTGTCAAATTGTGGTAGAGTACTGACAAATATTATGTGCAGCAAAATAATGCTATCTGGAAAATAACTTTGTGATTGAACTACAAAATTGAACTTCTTTTTGGACATCTCAATACTTACATTGGGCTATACTACCATTATAACGTATTTTGTTGTTTCTTTTAAGTACATGAATGTATTTATTTGTAGTTTTGTCAGGCACAATTTAGTTAAATTCATCAAATGTAGGGGGGGGGGGGGGTGTCTCGTCCGTCTATGTCCGCTTGTCTCATAGAATCCAAAAGGACAGGACATAGGCGGACTAGGCGGACATAGGCGGATATAGACGGACATAGGCGGACATAGACGAACATAGGCGGACATAGGCGGACACTAATGGACACCTAAATTGCTAAATAAAATGTTCAATTTTTGCTGTTATAGGGGGATCATGTTTTTTGTCCGTTCGGTATCCTATATTTTCAAAACGGACAAAAAATAGAGCGGACAAAAATGGACAAAAACGGACAAAAATGGAAATAACATTTAGATGCTTCCTCCTCCTACTCTTTCTCCTCCCCCTGGGTCTTCTTGATCTTCCTCGGTCCTCTTCCTCCTCCCCTCCTCAGTCCTCCTCCTACTCCTCCTCCTCGTCTTCAGTCCTCCTCATCAGTCCTCAACAGTCCTCCTCCCCAGTCCTCCTCCTCCTCCTCCTCCTCCTCCTCCTCCTCCTCCTCCTCCTCCTCCTCCTCCTCCTCCTCCTCATCCTCCTCCTCCTCTTCCACCTCCTCCTCAGTCATCCTCCTGAGTCCTCCTCCTCCTCCTCTTCATCCTCCTCCTGGGTCCTCCTCCTGGGTCCTCCTCCTCCTCCTCTTCATCCTCCTCCTCTTCCTCCTCAGTCCTCCTCCTCAGTCCTCCTCCTCATCCTTCTCCTCAGTCCTCTTTGGTCCTCCCCCTCAGTCCTCCCCCAGTCCCCTCCTCCTCCTCCTATTTAGTCCTCCTCCTCATCCTTCTCAGTTCTCCTCAGTCCTCCTCCTTCTCAGTCCTCCTCAGTCCTCCTCCTGAGTCCTCCTGGCTCCTCCTGAGTCCTCCTCCTTCTTCTCCCCTCCCTCTCAGTCATCCTCCTCTGCCATCCTCCTCAGCCATCCTCCTCAGTCCTCCTCAGTCCTCCTCCTCCTCCTCAGTCCTCATCCCCCTCCTCAGTCCTCCTCCTCATCCTTCTCGTCAGTCCTCCTCCTCCTCCTATTCAGTCCTCCTCCTCCTCCTCAGTTCTCCTACTTCTCGTTCCTCCTTCTGAGTCCTCCTCCTCCTCTTTCTCCTGAGTCCTCCTCCTCCTCCCTCTCAGTCATCCTCCTCAACCATCCTCCTCAGTACTCCTCAGTACTCTTCAGTCCTCCTCCTCAGTCCTCCTTCTCCTCATCCTCTATCTCCTTTCTCCTTCTCATCCTCCTCATACACCTCCTTCTCCTCATCAGTCCTCCTCCTCACTCCTCAGTCCTTCTCCTCCTCCTCGTCCTTAGTCCTCTTTATCAGTCCTCATCAGTCCTCATCAGTCCTCCTCCTCCCCAGTCCTCCTCATGGGGCCTTTTCCTGGGTCCTCCTCCTGGGTCCTCCTCCTCTTGGGTCCTCCTCCTCTTGGGTCCTCATCCTTCTCCTTAGTCCTCCTCCTCCTCAGTCCTCCTCCTCTTGAGTCATTCTTCTCCTCCTCCTCCCCCTATTCATTCCTCCTCCTCAGTTCTCCTTCTCAGTCTCACTCCTCCTCAGCCCCCTCCTCTTCCTCCTCAGTCCCCCCTCCTCAGTCCCCCTCCTCCTCTTCCTCTCTTTCATCTCTCAATAATTTGTTCGATTTATAATTACTGTTGGTGTTACAGGTGTTATTGTTTACATAATTTATTGTTATATACTGAAATGTTTTTAAACGCATTTGAGTCTGACTCAAAATGTGCTCAAGAATCTTTGTGTTTAACAAAGTTTTACTCTCCAGTAATAAAACTTTTCATCCCTTTTTATGTTATTAAAAAATGTGTAGACTATTCTTTGTACCTAATTGAGGATTAAAACTTTGAGAAAGGACCATGGTCATTAACCGGGCTACCCATTTCTGCAGATAGCCTGTTACAAATTGTGGAGAAAATTTAAATAAAAAGTTACAATTTTTGTCCGTTTTTGTCCGTTTTTGTCCGTTTGGCAGCTATATTTTCAAAACGGACAAAAATTAACGGACAAAAACGGACAAAAACGGACAAAAAATAACATGATCCCCCCCCTCCTCCTCCTCCTCTTCGTCCTCCTCCTCTTCCTCCTCGGTCCTCAGTCCTCCTCCTCCTGGGTCCTCCTCCTCATCCTTCTCATCAGTCCTCCTCCTCCCCAGTCCTCTCCCAGTCCCCCTCCTTCTCCTCTTCCTATTCAGTCCTCCTCCTCCTCCTCCTCAGTTCTCCTCAGTCCTCCTTCTCATTTCTCCTAAGTCCTCCTCCTGAGTCCTCCTCCTGAGTCCTCCTCCTCCCTCTCAGTCATCCTCCCCAGTCATCCTCCTCAGCCATCCTTCCCAGCCATCCTCCTCAGCCATCCTCCTCAGTACTCCTCAGTCCTCCTCCTTCTCAGTCATCGTCATTCCTCCTCCTCGGTCCTCCTCAGTCCTCCTCGGTCCTCCTGGGTCCTCCTCCTCCTCCTCCTGGGTCCTCCTGGGTCTTCCTGATCCTCCCCAGTCCTCTTCCTCCTCCCCTCCTCAGTCCTCCTCCTACTCTTCCTCCTCGTCCTCAGTCCTCCTCATCAGTCCTCAACAGTTCTCCTCCTCCCCAGTCCTCCTCCTCCTCCTGGGGCCTTTTCCTGGGTCCTCCTCCTCCTGGGTCCTCCTCCTCCTGGTCCTCTCTCCTCAGTCCTTCTCCTCCTCCTCCTCAGTCCTCTTCCTCCTCTTCCTCCTCCTCCTCCCTCTCAGTCATCCTCCTCAGCCATCCTCCTCAGCCATCCTCCTCAGTCCTCCTCCTGAGTCCTCCTCCTCCTGAGTCATCCTCCTCAGTTCTCCTCCTCCTCCTCCTAGGTCCTCCTTCTGGGTCCTCCTCCTCCTCCTCCTCCTGGGTCTTCCTGATCCTTCTCCTCCCTCTCAGTCATCCTCCTCAGTCATCCTCCTCAGTCATCCTCCTCAGTCATCCTCCTCAGCCATCCTCCTCAGCCATCCTTCTCAGCCATCCTCCTCAGTACTCTTCAGTACTCTTCAGTCCTCAAAATGTTTGTCCGCTAATGTCCACCAATGTCCGCTAATGTCCACCAATGTCTATCCAAGTCCGCCAATGTCCGTCCGGGTCCGCCAATGTCCGTCCGAGTCCGCCAATGTCCGTCCGAGTCCGCCAATGTCCGTCCGAGTCCGCCAATGTCCGTCCGTGTCCGCCAATGTCCCAAAAAACACGTCCGTTGTCTCATAGAATCTAAAAAGGACAGGACATAGGCGGACATAGACGGACATGACACCCCCCCCCCCCCCCCCATGTAACATGTTCCTTTAATCAATCTAAACTTTCCATATTCTAATAAAATTCTACATTCAGGTTATGATTACATTTCTTGCTGTTGGACTCATTCTTCTGGTCCCACCGACCGTTATCTGTACACCTGTTGTACTATGGCACGGCATGGGAGACAGTTGCTGCAATCCTCTTAGTATGGGATCTGTCAAGAAAATGTTGGAGAAAGAACTTGAAACATATGTTCTTAGTCTCATGGTTGGAAACTCAGTCGCTTCGGACACTACCAATGGATTTTTCATGGATACAAATGAACAGATCGATTTTGTGTGCAACACTATCAAAAAAGATCCTAACTTACAGGATGGTTACAATGCAATGGGTTTTTCTCAGGGAGGGCAGTTCTTGCGAGGTCTTGCTCAAAGATGTCCCCAGCCCCCAATGAAGCAGCTGATCTCAATTGGAGGACAGCACCAAGGAGTTTATGGTTTCCCTCACTGCCCAGGGTCCTGGTTTGTCTGTAAGGAGGTAGATAGACTGCTTAACTTGGGAGCTTACACCGACTACGTCCAAAGCCATTTGGTGCAGGCCCAATACTGGCACGACCCTCTTGATGAGGACGAGTACAAAAAGAAAAGCAAGTTTATCGCCGAAATTAACCAAGAGGGCACAGTGAAGCTTGAGTACAAGCAAAATTTGATGAGGGTTTCTAACATAACTTTTGTTATGTTCAACAAAGACACAATGGTTGTCCCAAAAGAGAGTGAATGGTTTGGTTTCTACAAGCCTGGACAGGACAAGGAACTGATGACTCTTCAGGAGGGCGACCTTTGGAAAGAAGACAAACTCGGACTCAAGGAGATGGACTCTCAAGGTCGTCTTAGTTTCTTGAAGATTGAAGCAGATCATCTTAGGGTTCCTGAAGCATTTTGGAGTGATGAAATCATTCCCCGTCTTAAAGTATAGCCTGAAATGTGAGGAAAAGTTTACAAAAACATGAACTTTGATACTGTTTGTTTTATATATTTTTCGATATGATTTCAATTTTAGCATTCTACGCTGAAATACCTTATGATGGATGCTACAAATAAGAAAAGACTTAGCTCACAGATTTTGTCAGCAATTAGACTATTAGATTTTAATTCTGTAGGTTTGGCTTGACTAAATAACAAAACAGGTAAATAAAAGCAAGGAGTCTTTGTCAAAATTGGTAGCTGAATCTTAAACTTGAAACTTTCTCCAAATTTGTTGCATCCTATTTAGTGTTTACATTTGTTTTTTAATAAGATGTCAGATGATTTTGTTGTTTTTGTTTTAATTTTTGTAATCATAATTTTAACTGTCATGTACAATTTTACCATTTCAATTGTTTATGGTGTCTTTTATTGTTAATTGTTTATCAATTCTTCAAACATCCATTGTTGTTGCAATAACTACAGTCATAGTGTCAGTACTTCTATGCGATAATATGCGTTTTATTCGATGGAATCACTCCCTTGTAGTGTGATTTTTATATTACTTAGTGATATAAGTTTAATAATCTAACGTTCGAATTTCACTACAAAGTTTGATTATAAAATCTCCTGTCAACATAATTTTGCTACCAAAATGAAACTTGTTTATTATAAGCTCCCAATCGATATGTATTTTGAACTAACCCATTATCTATTATAGGGAGGGACAGTTTAAAAAGCAACTTCTGCTACAAGCTCTACACCGGCAACATGGCTGACTCTGGAATAACCAACTTGGAGAAAAAGGATCCCTTCGCTGATGTCGGAGATGAGCAGGAAGAGACCGCCCAGAAAGAGGACATCCACATCAGAATCCAGCAGAGAAACGGACGAAAGAGTCTGACAACTATCCAGGGAATTTCCCAGAATTATGACTTGAAGAGAATTATAAAGGTGGTGAAGAAAGAGTTCCATTGTAACGGAACAGTCGTGGAGCACGCTGAATATGGGGAGGTGTTACAGCTTCAGGGAGATCAGAGGAAGAAAATGAAACTATTCCTCCAACAAATTGGACTCGCTTCTTCCGAACAGATAAAAGTTCACGGATTCTAATCTTTCGACTGCTCTTGGAATCAGATTTTTCCACTTTGGACCTGTGGCTTCCATTGTTGTCTTGTGTACATATCATGTTTTTTGCTGGTTTTAAACACCAAAACTTTTGGAATTTTCGGGCCACAAGTAATAATCGCTAAAAAGTAACATCTATTTTTTATTCTGATCCTTCAGTGAGATCTTGCTTCGAAGTTTTCTAGTCAGGGAACTCATAAGTTTTGTGGCTTGAACAAAATCTTTTGACGTACTATTGGAAGATAAATAATGTGATCTGATTTCAACCTGGGGACTAAAAAATAGCCTGTTAAAAGTTTTGGGATATTATTATTTGATTATTTTCAGCATAAAACATGGTGTGCATTGCAGGGGTTGTACACTCACTCCCTCGAGGCGTGTTAACAAACTTTGTTATTTGTATTTTGTGATGAAAAGCACCGCTGAAAGTCACGGAAATTTATTTTTGGTGACATTTTATTTGTGTGTTTTTTCTAGAGCTACAAAAGTTGGATAAGAAGTAAGAACAATCTACGTTAATTCAAAGACTGTCTGCCCAAATATGTATAATTCATTAATTCAATGAAAAATTTTTGTTATATTCGAAGAAATAATTGGTAGATTAAACGCTCAATTAACCAAATTAAGTTAGGAGAGTAGCCAAGATGACGGCTGATATGAGATTGATGTTGGATGAGCTGATGGGACGGGATAGGAATCTATCACTTGTAGAAAAAGAGAAACAGATGGAGCACTGGTCAGATGAATCGGTGAGTTGCTCCAGCAAATTACATAATACATTATCTGTTGTTTTTAAACAAAACAGGAATTTAGAATATTATTTGTTTTTGATGCAGACGAAAATAAAAATATAATTAATTTAAAGCAAAAAGAGTATCATATTGCTCCGTAACTTAACGTCTTGCCAACGAGCCAATAATAAAGTTATGCATGGAGTTACTAATTTTAATTAACAATACATTGATTATAAAATACATGCTGAAATACATGATCATTGATCACACTCCTTTGCAGGTTTGCAAGTATTTCCTCGTTAAGTTCTGCCCACACGATTTATTCACAAATACGAAGGCTGATCTTGGACCATGCAAATTCGCTACACACGATGTCAAGATTCGTGAAACGTACGTATTTTATTCTTTGCTTTATATTTTGTACAATCCTGTACTTGTCAAATCTTATAACCAGTTTCATGTTACTGCACTCAGACAGTGATTGAGTGTTTGAACTCTTCTAATAATTGTGTGTAATATTCTAGAGGTATTTTAAGCAAGTGAAACACTTGAAATAGGTGCCCATTGGTCAGACGAATCGTTAAGCAATTATTTTGTTGACTATTCAGAATAGTCTTAATACTTTAATATCATTAAACAGGAGCACACACACAAAATCTAGGTAAACTATAGGTAAAAATATAATATTAATCATAAGCTAAAATGTACTAATCTTTGTATTGTATGATTAATAAATTGAAACCTTGATGCGGTAATCTGTACCGATACAAATCATCCAAACACTTGTTGCACTTTGCTATATCTCTGATTCCATTCAGCTCACAAAAAATAATTTGTACTTAAATTCCTAATATTAAGGTCCTTTCAGAAAACTGAAAATAAGTTCATTCTATGCCTTCTCAGTCTCCCAACAGATGGAAATATAATCTACTCCATGAGATGATCCATCTGTCAACTTATTTCGAGTGTTTCACTTGTTTGAAATATAATGCTCTTGCCTGTCAGTTGAGCACTTTTCTAGGGAACCAAGAAAAGTGCTCAACTAACATTAAAGGTATAATGTTTCTATCTATCATCAGCATCTCAATGAGGTTTACAATAGGTTGATAAATCCCAATAGAAAAAAGGCTGCTCCAAAAATCGGTCTTTAAAGTTTACCTAATTTCTTAATGACAGCTACATTTATTCGTACATCACAGGTACACAACGAGTCAACGCTGGAAGACGATGGGATACGAGGACTCATTTCTCCGCTTTCTGGAAAGTATAGTGGATGATATGGAACGGAAGATAAAACGGCAACATGAGCGGTTGGAACACGATGAAAGATACATGAAAGCGGTGAGTCACGAGTGCAACATATTTCACAAGTTTTAAATGGTTATTTGCTCTGGACAATACAGGGTGAATTCAAGTTGGCCCGAGAACAAATCACGTGAAATCCGAAAGAGAAAAGGCTTTTCATTGTGGAACAAACGTAACGCGCTGCTAATTTTAAATTGATGAAAGCCAATGTGGCTCACCCGCTACTGTAAAACAGAGAAATTTTTCGCGCGGATTGTATTACGCCATTTAATTATTATATCGTGAACGAAGTAAAGCATATGATCGTAAGATCAATTCTCATTTGATAATTGATTCCTTTTTTAATAAAGTGTTGTCTTTATTAGTAATGATTCTTTCCAGGAACAGCAAAAGGCCGATGAGACACGCAATAATCGTTTGGAGACACTCAACAAAGAAATAGACGAAATGCTCGAGAAGGTAGACATAGACTTGTTTACTTTACATCCGACTCCATTAATATTATCTTATTATCTGACTGAGTCTTGAACGGGAATAATTATAATGCTGGTTGTCAATAACCGTACCGTGATTATTTTAAGGAAAGATGCTCAAGATGCAAATCTTTCAGATGGCTGAGGCAGGTTCGGTGGGAAATGTTGATGAAGCACAGGAGATGATGAAACAAGTAGAGACAATGAGACAAGAAAGAGAGACCCTCAAAGCGACCAGAACCGAGGATCCCCAAAAGAAAGTATTCTTGGTAAGCGATCCTGAACTTTCACATAACTTTCACGTAACGCAGATATCATCGCTGGCGTTTGCATTCACTTGTATCAATAACTTTAGAAGTAAACAAATACTACCTCAGGTGAAGCAGAATGTTCCATTTATAAACGAGATGAAGCACATGGAGGTATGTCCAGTGTGCGGGGCATTTCTTGTGGTGAACGACACTCAGACCCGGGTGGACGCCCACTTGTCTGGAAAACAGCACGTAGGATACGCTCTCATTCGGGATGCTATCAAAGAGCTCAAGGTTAGTTTTCATTTATTCCTTTTCGTAGTTCACGGGGGATGTATTTTCGATTGTGATACTGAAACTTTTAATTCAAAAGTCATATTCATGCTGGTAGATTTGACTGTGAAAATCGTGATGCTGGTTTAAGTTGCTAGGGGCTTCGGTACTACTATTGTTTATGATTATGTGCTCAAGAGGTTAAAGCGGGTTATCTTGACCGATTTAAGTTTTGCTTCTTATTTTTAAGGCATTATTTGTTGGGTAGTTGAAGCTGCGATGTAACATTTTTAACTGTAAAGTAATTGAATTAATTTGAAATTTTCTGGTAGGAATATAAGAGCCCAGTCAACCGCCAGTTTCAAACATATCTGGAATGCTAAGAGGTACACAAACGAGGTTGCCTTTGCGAACACCGAAACTGCCGCCTTAAAATCCAAGTATTTTATGGTTTGGATCGAAGATAAATCTAAGGACAAAGGCAGCCTCGAAAATAAGAATATTAATATGTCTGTCTTTGAATCAGTTCAGTGTGATCTTTACTAGCCTTAATATGATAGCATGGCACTTGCAATTAGCCTGTACTTGTCTTTTGAACTAACTTTTATATTTAGTAGTTAAGTAACCGGCCCGGCCCGGGCCACACCCTGAAAAAATAGTAAAGTTTGAGTTGTTATAACAAGGAACTTTGACGGTTCAGGTTAGTGGCATATTAGGCTTCAATCGTAACCAAGAATTGGACCGATCTTTCATGTACCGATTTTGAAGGAAACAGTGTAAAATATCAGATCTACTGAATCAATTTTCTAGATTGTTTTGCTAACAGCGTCAGGAAGGTTTGTGAACTGGAACACCGTGTGCAGTAAGAAGGACCGCCAACAGGTTTCAATATTGGTGTTTTTACCACCTCAACATACTAGTGCCACTCACTTCTAGTATCACCAACCACCTCATTCTTACCTCTGCCACTACGAGTGATGATTTATTTTCTCATAACATTCAGGACGAGATGCCAGCTAAATAATCTCCCGAACGGTGGGGTGTCAGTGCACATTGGGAGGTCTTATCTTACAGTTACAGGTTTCCTCATTTTCTCACACATTTCATTTAGTGCTGCTCCGTCTACTTAACATGTTAACTTGATGTAATTTAGGAGGAGAAGGAGAAGCTGGAGAAAGAAAAAGAGGAGAAGAGACTTGCAGAAATTGCTGCTAGAGAGTAAGTTATATTCAAGTTATATTCAAGTTAAATTGATAAGTTTATATACAAATTTGTATAATTATATTGTATTATATTGGATTGAATAGGCTGAAGATACTGGAAATCAAATTTAAAAATTCGTAAAAAAGATTAGGTGTCTTCAGGTAGTCTAGCTGACATAAAGAATTTACTAGCATTATTTTGTCAGAAAAGAGAGAAAAGAAAGAGAAGAAGCTAAAGGGCGAGATGAAACTCGAGCTAGAGATGAAGCACGAGGTAGAAGTGAAGGTCGAGGTAGAGAAAATGATGGTGACTCCAGGCGGAGTAGTAATCCTGAAAGCACCAGAGCATCTATTGAAAAAGAGCGTTCTCGCAGGTTGGCTACATTTCTCTTCATAATTTATGTCATTCATGTATAGTTTTCAAATGTTTCAGAAGTGTAACTGTAAGCTGTCGTAATAGCAATAATAATATAGTATAGCTTAGGCTGAAAACTAGAGTCATAAAATATTTCAGGGACGCCGAAAGGTATCAGAAATTCACAAGGAACGATGAAGAACGGGATAGAAAACAAAGCAGTAGCGATAGAAGAGACCGGAGGCGGAGTGAAGACAAATCAGAAAAGGGTAGAGATCGCAGAAACCGTAGCGGGAGTAGAGATAGGAGCAAGAGCAAGAGTCATAGGAGTAGGGATAGGAGCAAGGGCCGTGATAGATCTAGACGATCATCTAAAGAGGAGAAAAGGAAATCAAGGGACGAAGAGGAGGTACGAAAAGATGGAGACGGTGAAAACAAAAACGAGGAAAGCACAAAAGAGGAAGGAAATCCTGATGCCGCGGAGAGCAATGATAAATCAGAGGAAGGGAGTAAGGAGGATGAGGCAGCAGATAATGAAGTATTCAAAGATAATCCTGCAGCAGTAGGGGCTGGAGATCCTGATGGGGGTAAAAGAGTCGACGAAAATACTGATGGTCTGGGTGCTTCCCAAACCGACCAACCCGATGATTCCAGTGAGGCGAAACCAAAGGAAGTGGAAAAACAGTCAAGGGACAGAAGATCTCGTTCGCGATCACGCAAACGTGACCATTCTCGCAGATCTCGCGACAGGTCGCGTGAGAGAACACGCAGATCTTCGCGCGACAGATCACGTGACAGGTCACGCAGAGACAGATCTAGAGACAGAAGACGACGACCTCGGTCAAGAGACCGACGTAGATCCAGATCAGGGGAACGGAAAAGATCAAGATATTAGATCTGACTAGAAATTTTAAGTACGAAACAGCTTATAAACATGTTTATAATAAATGAATTTAATGCTTTCACAATATGGATATCAAGAGCAGTTACATAGATAAGCTGGCTATATTTAATTTCGAAATATTGAATCCGATCTTTTTATATTAGCATATTTCGCTCCAAGCAAGGAGTTTCAAGACGCAGCGAATTGAAGGTTTGATACTTGCTTATCTGCACAGAATTGAACTTTATTTGAATATCATTCTAGCAGACTCAAAAACCGGGTTAAAATATGAGGTACTGGAATATTTATATCCTGGTGTGTATCGTTTATTTCTACAAATGACTTATTTGTGAGATATTTGTATCCCTTTGTGAGTTTGTCCGAAAAAAGGTTTCATTGCAAGGGCATACAGTTGGGGGGGGGGGGGGGGGGGGGGTTGACGGATGTTACTCGTCTAAATTTCTTCGTAGTAGCGCGCGCCGCTTTCTTCTCGAAATGCCCGATGGCAAGTGCTACGAAGTAGCGCGCGCCGGGCCAGATCATTCACAATGGTCAGGGGGGGGGGGGGGTCCAACTACATTTTTGTACTAGGTAGTGCGCCATCGACAGTGAGCCGCGCGTGCCGACTGTAGGATGGTTTTTTAGCGCTTATTTCGGCCAGCACAATTTTCTTCAAACAAATAGATATTAAGTATCCTTCCCGACCTCCGATTGCAACAAAAATTGGTAAGCTTACTCATAGACTTACAAGGAAAGTGTCCGAAAAGTTTAAAGCATATCCAACCATCAGACATTATGTTACAACTAAAAGCAGCGTATTTTGATCACTATATCAACTCCGATATCCACCAAATTTTTCGGACAGTTGTGAAAGCCCTATTGGAAGGTCTTCGCCAATTTTCAGAATGATCTCATTCAAGGAACTGAAGATATATCCAAATAATACGACAAAAATCAACGAATTTGGTCAAATTTGGTCAAATTACGCAAGTTTTACAGCTAATTTTGCTCCAAAAGCCGCGCACCATCAAATATGGCACCTAGGCGAAACTCACTGATCTTTCCAAAAAGGTATGACAAATTTAGACTTAGTATTGTGAAAATTCTCACAGTCTCTAGAAAACAATGGTACAAAAAATTTTAAAATCCGAGCAAGTTTATTTTTATGGTGCACCCCCTATTTGTACATGGCCACCAGATTTTTGCCAAATGTACATGTACAAAAATGTACAAAATATGTTTTTTCCTGTTTGGCCACCAGCTTTTTGCCAAATGTACATGTACAAAAATGTACAAAATATGTTTTTTCCTGTTTGGCCACCAGATTTTTGCCAAATGTACATGTACGTTTCCAGGGATTTCCGATTTTTTGTACATTTTTTATGACCATTAATGTACATTTGTAAATAATAAATGGAGAGCTGCTCTTCGTGATGGGTGGTTTTGTCACTCCTTTTTCTCCGATTACGGTGCACTGTGTAGAGTGATTAATTATCATCCCTGCTTGACCGTGAAAACGGGAAGCTTCGTAGTAGAACTTCAACCAGAATAATCTGTCCCCTTCAAGGCAGCTGTCGGTGTTTCGTTCTCTCTCCATCGTTCAACTTCAATGTAATAAACTTGGCAGCTGTTCAAGAATATAGTATTACTACTATTGGTCCTTGAACCTCAGACCCTACGTTATTTATTTTTAACACGGCCCACCTTTAACAGGTCGATCTCCACTCACCAGGCATAGGAATGATACTCGCGAGGGAAATGTGAGACTACAGGCAGGCATCAAGCAACAGATCATTTATATGTTGCCACCTGCTAATAAGTAGGAACTTTACCATTAAAGATTTGGTAACACAATAAATTGATTGCGAAAAATAAACCTGTGTTAAACGATGGTCACACTTTAATGTATGTAATATAAGAGATGTCGGGGTTTTTTCTACCATTTTCAGATACACTTTAGATATAATTTACATATCATGATAGATGCTTAAATTTGATTAAGTCTGGAACAAACGAAAACTCGACTATTTTTCAATGAAGAAGAAGATAACAATAAAATTGGTAACATTTTCCAATACTACTAATAGTAAATTTGTTATGCAATGATTTATTTGACAAAAAATTAGCAGTAACTCAATACTCATTCTAATGTCTACTGTTTAATACCGATATTCCCTGATTGCAGTACCAATACTCGAGAGAAATATTCAACACTTGCATAGCTGTCACTTACTAATAAGTAGGAACTTTCCCTCAAAGAATTGATACTACAATATTAAGTCAACATTGTTTCTTTAGCAAGTTTCCTGCTCGGTGCCAGATGCGTATGAGAAGGATTTCGTGTGGTCACCGAAGAAATCAAGGTTAAGATAGGCACCTTTTTGTTGAGTATCTCCACTGATCCATCGGTGGTAAACCATGTCGATATGGCCATCACCATTAAGATCAACAAATCTAGCTCCAAGATCGCCATGTCCATCAGCAGCAATGTGGAATGGTGGTATGTACTGTGGTGCCCATGTCCAGCCATTTCCATTGTTCAAGTATGCACCTTTTTGTTGAGTGTTTCCATTGATCCACCGGTGGTAGACCATGTCGATCTTGTCATCACCGTTAAGATCAACGAATCTAGCTCCAAGATCACCATGGTTATCAGCAGCAATGTGGAATGGTGGTATGTACTGTGGTGCCCATGTCCAGCCATTTCCATTGTTCAAGTACGCACCTTTTTGTTGAGTGTTTCCATTGATCCACCGATGGTAAACCATGTCAATCTTTCCATCACCATTGAGATCAACAAATCTGGCTCCAAGATCACCATGGTTATCAGCAGCAATGTGGAATGGTGGTATGTACTGTGGTGCCCATGTCCAGCCATTTCCATTGTTCAAGTATGCACCTTTTTGTTGAGCATTGCCATTGATCCACCGGTGATAGACCATGTCGATCTTACCATCACCGTTAAGATCAACAAATCTAGCTCCAAGATCACCATGGTTATCGGCAGCAATGTGGAATGGTGGTATGTACTGCGGTGTCCATGTCCAGCCATTTCCATTGTTCAAGTATGCACCTTTTTGTTGAGCATTTCCATTGATCCACCGATGGTAAACCATGTCGATCTTTCCATCACCATTGAGATCAACAAATCTGGCTCCGAGATCACCATGGTTATCAGCAGCAATGTGGAATGGTGGTATGTACTGTGGTGCCCATGTCCAGCCATTTCCATTGTTCAAGTATGCACCTTTTTGTTGAGTGTTTCCATTGATCCACCGGTGGTAAACCATGTCGATCTTCCCATCACCGTTAAGATCAACAAATCTGGCTCCAAGATCACCATGGTTATCGGCAGAAATGTGGAATGGTGGTGCGTACTGTGGTGCCCATGTCCATTTGTTTCCATTGTTCAAATATGCTCCTTTTTGTTGAGTGTTTCCATTGATCCACCGGTGGTAGACCATGTCGATCTTACCATCACCATTGAGATCAATATATCTGGCTCCAAGATCACCATGGTTATCGGCAGCAATGTGGAATGGTGGTGTGTACTGCTGCGAAACTTCTCTCCAGGATGCTGGGACTCCAGATATTTCAGAGATTTTGATCCATTGCTGTTTCATCCTTGGTTCAGCTATATTTTTTATGAAGCCAGCAACTTTATCTCCCTCACCGTTGATGTTCATTGCGGTGCTGATTGCTGCATAACCTCCTGATTCCAAAGCCATTATGTACTGCACAAAGTCTTCCATATCTTTGGTGAAAGTTCCGGGATTGAGAACGCTTGGGATTGCAAGTTGGTCTTTGTAAACGGAGATCAAAGATCTTTTTCCAAACAGCCGACCAGTTCCCATCACAAGATCATGCAGGCTGAAGAGAACCTGCTCAAGACCATCAGGTCCATTGTCGAGGACAGCATCGGCCCATTCTTTAGCTTCATCTGGTGATTTCAGGGCCATGGTTGCGGATGAAGTACAGTACACCACATGCCAATGCATTTGGTGCAAAATGAATCTAAGTCTTTGCACATCGTTTGCGTAGAGAATTGCTCCTTCGTTCCACTCTTGACCAACCTGCAGCGACTTTACTCGTACACTCAGCTCATCCACGGACTCCTGAAGCTTATCCAGTTTCTTGTTTATTTTTTTGAGTTCTGCAAGTTTTTGTTGGCCATTGACTATACCATAGATGAAGGACCCTCCCCCAAAGATGGCACTGAAGAGAGGAGCAACTGCCACGGCACCAGCTATTATGGGCAGGAGTCTTTTTTCTAGTTCTACGCTGGTTTCAGACGAATCCAGCAATATCTCATCTTCTTTAAAGCTACGCCCTGAGAATAATGTTTATATTAATTGCAGCTGTAATCCACTGGATTCTGAAATAAGATCTAACTTGTTTTTAAAGTATTATGAAGTTGTCAGAAATATTAAATCATTCTCACCATCCATCGACTTACTTAGCGAAACTGAGCTAGTCGTCACAAATGTCACCAAGAGGCACAGCAAAAGAATTGAGGACTTTAACATCATCTGCGAGTATGATTGCAATGAGTAGGGCAATTTTATAAAACGTGTGGACCTAAATAAGCATACAACATATTCGACATCTATCTATTTAGGGTCCCGAATTAAGATCTTGACCAGTAAATAGCTGTGTTTTAAATTATATTCACGTGTCAACGTTGCCTCGATTTGGGTGACTCATAAGGACGGGGTCTGAGTTACAGCTAGCGTCCAACAATTAACAGCCTTCATTAGATATAATGTAAACGCTATATAAACTATCCAGATCCTCAATGTAAAATGTTAAAGTGTCTCATAATGAAATGGATTTAAGTATTATATTATGAGTTAAATTAAAATGGGTTAAGTACTAGTAGGTTAAAAACGCATTTATGCCTATATTTTGCAAAAATAGTTTGAAGTAATCAAGGACGAAAGAAAATCGCGATTATTTAGGCCAAAAATCAGGGCGCCGCAACAAGCCAAACTAGGCAAAATCGCTGCGAAAATCTCGAAATTCGCAGAAATTTCCACGGTCCTTCAAGTGAACAAGCTGTTCTTAGGCACGTGGTTCTGGGACAAGTAGTCCGATGGCATAATTATCATTATATTTATGGTTATCGCGACTTAGAGGTGGCGGCATGTTGTCAGCATTGTGGCATCCTTTGTATTATGTATAACTATAAGTTTTTCACTATCAGTATCACTATGTTCGTTGAAATATTTCCTTTACCCTCATGAGTTTTTGTCCATATTGTGTTCGCAAAGGTATGTTATAAAGTTTTATTATATAATAATTGTCTTAACAATTGGTCAATGTTCTTATTGTTTTAAATCTCACTGAATAGATTACCTGCTAACTAACCTTATATTATTATTATGCCTAACACATTTTACATCACATACGGTCGTATTATTATAATGCGATTTCGGAAGGCAGGCTTAATATAAAGTTAACCCCCTTTACAATACGAGCTCGGAAGCAGGAGCTCTTATCTGCCATCGAAGTACCTATCAAAAATGACTCGGACCGAATATTTTCTAAGTCGAAATTTTTTCAAAGTTTTTCTGGAAACTACTTTTGTTCATGTTTCATGCTACCCTGATCATATTATAACTATAAGCTGAAAATATTTTTCAGTCTTCTGAAGTCCGTACTTACATTCGGAAGGCTGTGGTTGTGATTGGTTCCGTATACTTATAACTTTATAAAGAACGCAATATTTGGCTTTTGGATTTAAAGGAGAATGCGCAAATTTGGTCCTCAGAATTAAATAAAAATGCACAATTTGTCGCGGAGAATTGAAGAAATCGCGATTTTTCGCGGAAAATAGCGATTACGCACGTGCCGCGATTTCCTTTTGACCTTGGTTTGAACTACATTAACCTAGCTGATATAAATCTAAAACGAATCTGATTAAATCCATCACAATTAACCCTTTTATAATAATACTAATAGATTAGGAATAATAGAAAAAAGACTTTGTGAATAACGTGTTTCATCAGCTGTCAAAACACTCTTAGTCTTTGTTGTACACTAAGAAGTTAGAACAAAAACTAAGTCCTATACGGTAAGTGGGTGGCTCTTTTATCTCCACCTGATGGTTCAGATCTTCATTGTTGAGGTATTTCTGGGTGGTCAAAGTAAAAGTTTAGCTCATAATCACCTGTCAGACTTGTATCACGCGGTGACCCCCACTGCCGCTTCACTATAGTGTCTTCGCTATAGTCTTCACTATAGTGTCTTCGACGCTACAGGGGGAGCCGCGCACTTCGTGCGCGGCGGGTCATACAACGTATGACAATGTCAGACCTAGTAAGTAGTAGTAGCAGTCTCTTGTCTCGTACAAGGAGGTGTGAAACTTATCACGTTGCTGTGATGATCTGACTTGACAATCGTTTCATCACTGTTACTGTTTTCTTGGAAAACGCCTCGTTTTTATAATAATAGGTCAGCAGTAATCAAAGAGCTCACAGCTGGTGCAGGTAAAAAACTTTTCAGAAAAATAGTTTCCTTCAATTTTATCCAATTAATCATTGTTTTATGGAAGTACCAATAAAAATGAAAGCTTAAGCTGATAAACTCTTGTCCGTCTCGCATTTCCTAGGAGTAGGACATCGCCTAGTTATTGCTAAACTAAAAGGGGAATATTTTCAGGATTATTGCATGTCTGTCCACAAAATCGTCGACAACCAACATACATATGTATTTCGAATTATTGTTAACTGAACCTAGGCGAAATAGAGACACAACATATTATGATTGTTAAAGAATAAAGAATTGGTGGGGCCAATGGATCGCCATTACATCACAAATCAATCGAAACTGTGAAATGTGACAAATTCCTCTCCATTAAAATGTTTGCCATTATTTCATGCTCAGACTTTTTTAATGGAAATATAAAGAGTGAGGATTTCATTGAGACAGACCTGTCAAACTTTAAATTAGCTAAACTGTATCCATGAATATTGTTTAACTTTAAATATACTGTGTTTCCTAACACGACGTCATTTCACATTTGAGCGAAAGTAATGAAAGCTTTTGCAAGTTATGTTTCATCGACCATCGTACGATTTATCAAAATAATAATTAACTTGAGTCATCATTTAACAATTTTTTAGTTCACAAAATTAAATTTATATCAAGCTGCTTTTCTTTCAATGACTTCTGATATGATGGGCGACAGTCGGTCCTCTAAAGTGTGTCCCATGAGATCCTTCCGAGACAGCATCCCCACTACGGTGTTACTGTCATCAGTAACTATGAGGTGTCGTAACCCTAGTGTGCGGAACAACACGTACGTTCTGAGGGAATATACGTTTTAGTAATAGCGTGGAAACCTGTAATCTACAGGGTGGGCCAAAAGTTAGTACCCATACGTTAGCCTTAATAGCTCAGTCACTGAGTGTCCAATTAAAATAATTCTTTCTGGTATGACTTACTACCACCAAAAATATGCGTGTTCATTAAAAAAATTAAGGTTCATTTTCGTATTTATCTGATAGTTTGGAAAGTCGGATCGAGCAAAATTTTATTGAATTGTCTTTGGCCATTCGAATTAGGTTTGTCCTGAAAAAAAAAAGAGAGTTGTAGCTTCTCAGATGACCGAGATACGAAGCATAACGAGTTTATTCATTACGTGTAATCAGTTGATTGGCTTACCTAATCACGTGATAATGTGACCCCGTTAAGCACTCCGTTAAACATTATGGGAATCATTAAGGCTGCCCAATTGTTAAGGGTGCCCAATTAAGGTGTCGTGTCACGGTGTCACATAATCACCCAGTCAATTTTGTTAAGCAGATTTTGTTTAGGAGATACACAAAATGCTTGATAACTTCGTCATTTCAAATCCGTTTCACATCATTATTTTTTCAGATCGGATGCAACATTTAATAATCTACCTTTCCGAAAAAATTAGGCGTCCAGCATGTTCGAAGAGAAAAATATGATAGGTGTTTTAATATTGAATGGGCGTGGTCTAAAATATTCGAATTTTCAAATTTTGGCGACGGAATTCTCGAACAAGTAGGTACAGTATGCCATCTGCAAAGCAACAACTCTCAAATATAAAACACAGCGGAGGTATAAGACCCAACGTATGGGTACTGACTTTTGGCCCACCCTGTACATTTATATAGTTTGGTTTAACGAACTTATGGAATTTACTATTGGTGGGACATGAAGTTATCCTGTTATTTAGTAAGTTCAGTTATCAATCAATTCATCGATTCTTTTAGTGTATATTTTAATTGTTTTTTTTGTTAAATTCATAAAATATAAATCCATAAATCCTCAATGAGGATTCCTCATATGACCACCTGTGTAGAGAGAAAGATAAGGGGACGCTGACAGCTGACTGGTTCATGTAAGAGTCTAGGTTTATTCTTTTGTCCCCAGAGTCGGTCACAAGTTTATCAAATATTGTCTTCTGTCTGAAACTCGGGTCGTGTTGTAGAAACTCGTCATAAGTCACCTGAACAGAACAAGTGTCAGTATAAAGATTTTGAACCAGAATCATCGAACAGATGGGAGGAAGCATCAACTGGTGAAATTGAGTAAGATAAATACGATTCTGTTTTCCCCTCACATTTTCCCTGTCCTGATCAAAGTGGAACTCCAAAACAACCGCCAATATCCTCCTGGTAACGGAACCTATCAATTGGTTCTGATCGTTTACAACTGGAAACCCACAATGCTCATACTCCAGCATCTTCTCCGCTAACTCGGACACACTTTCGTCTTTCTTCACACACTACACAGATAATCCATCGTTAGAAAATTCATGATTTATATAAGGTTAGGCGTCATTATCAACAACGACACTTAAAGTTGATCATCAATAATTGTGCAAATTATGTTGTGAATATCAAAACCTACCACGACAGGACTCGACATGGCATCTCCAGCCTTGAACAATTCGAGTGATACAGGCGATCCATTGTGTGTGATGAAGGGTTCACTATCTAGGAATGGGATGCATTTCACCTGAAATGTTCATAATGAAAACAGGACGACAATTTTACAGAAGGTATGCGCGCGTCTTTAGTTTTATAATCGATATCAAACTTTTATCACATAATATTTGTTTGTCGTCATATTGATTGGAACGCGCGAAAATGGCTTTAGGTAATCCCGGGACTGATTTAACTTCTGAGCCCTGACAGGCTGACAAGATCTAAATAAACCCTGGACTGCCAGAGTCGGAATAACCCTATAGCTTGCCGTCCTTGTACTTGAGGACTGCCACAAAAGTGACAACTTATGAAAGCCATTTTTGTGCTTGACACAAATTAAATTTTAGCGGCCACAGGACACAAGTTTCTACCAAAACTATCAGTGCAGAAAAGGCAGCTTGAGAGAAGACTTTCCTAAGGACAGAAGCGATACATCACAATTAGTCAATCCAGCTACTGTCCGGAAAGATTGAAATCCTTCGAGTGAATTAGTGACCGAAGGAGTGAAAAGACTCCTCAGTGCTCAGTTAAAAAAGCTCGTTATAGGTTGCATGTGGGTACGACTTTCCACACAGTGTTTCATTATTTATAAACCTTAGTGTTTAGATGTTGGCGATTGGGGTAATTCAGTAGGAGTAACAGTCAATGTTTCTTTCGAATGCATTTAAGACTCCATATTCAAAAAATAATCTTTCAGCAATACTATATCTATAGTAATTATTAAACATATATCTATATATTCACCTTATCAAAACGAAAAGAAACTAACATTATACTGATACAATCCCCCAAAAAGTGATTCAATCAAATTAGAGCTTTAAAACTAATATCTTAAGTCTTCGTGTCTATGCTTAATTGATTCGAAGAAGAATAAACTATCAAAGTATAGAGATCATCCCTCGAGCTTCTTAGAATTTCTGGCACTTATGCCTCAGAAACAGGGGATATTTCACCCTTCTTTGCACTGTCGATGAAGTCCAGGAAATTGCTAACCTCCGTGTAGACGCCGGGTTTACCTGCACGACCACATCCCACACCCCAACTCACGATCCCTGTTAAAGTGAACTTGTTCACACTCAAATCGTCGATACCAATGGGACCTCCACTGTCACCTGAACAGGCATCCACCTGACCTTTACTGTCACCTGCACAGAACATTCCTTGTGAGATGACATCGTCGTAGAACTCATCGCATTCATCATCTGTGAATAACCTGACTTTTGCTTCCATGAGCTTATCTGATGGAACACCAGATCCTTCGTACGTAAGCCCAAATCCAGTTACAACGAGTTGCTGTTTTTCTGGCATTTCGAAGTTCGCTTCAGGGAGACACGCAGGACGTACTGCGTCACTCCATTGGAGGGGCTCCGAGAGTTTGAGCACTGCTATATCGTTGTGTAGGGCTTGAGCTTTCGTCTTCAAGAAGGTAATGTACTTTTCATTAACAAATATCTTGTCAACTGTTCTGCTTTGCTTATCTTTCCAATCTTTTTTCGATTCAACAGTAGTGCTGATACCGGCATAAACTTCGAACGTGCCTACACTGGTGTACTTGCAGGGTTTCAGGAACTTTATTTTCTCGATATGGTCCGCGTCTGTCTCCTCCAGGATCTCCAGGAACCGAGCTTGAGACGGTGCAGAGTAGCAGTTGCCGCTGGCTACACAATGTGCGGCAGTAACGATGGTATTCTCATCAATAATCGTACCACCACAGTGTTGGCGACCATTGGCGAGGATAAGCACCTGCCAAGGAAACTTGCCATTTCTAGCGGCAGTCCCTCCAACGATCCGGTTAAAAGAAGTCGATTGTTCTATCTTCCTTTTGCCACATACCATGTCGACTGTGTTTCCTCCGTTTCCTCCGTTTCCTTCGTTTCCTTCGTTTCCTCCGTTTGCCCCGTTTGCTCCGTTTCCTCCGTTTCCTCCCTTTCCTCCCTTTCCCTTCCCTCCCTTCCCTCCCTTTCCTCCCTTTCCTCCCTTTCCCTTCCCTCCCTTTCCCTTCCCTCCCTTTCCTCCATTTCCCCCCTCTACTCCCTTCCCTCCCTTCTTTCTATTCTTTCTTCTTCCACGTAGCTCTAAATCCAACTCTTCCTCATCTTCAACAAATTCTGCCGTGACAAGAAGCGCTGCCGTCAGGAGAAATAGGATAGCGAATGTAAGCTTCATACTGCGCTACAAGTTTGGTCTTTAAGCAACAGGGCGAGACTAATACTACAAACCAGTTGAAAGTACGTGCTAAAATAAAGTTGTAAAAGCGAATGGATAGCTCACCTCACTCGCCGGGATTAACTGTGATAACTAAACTGCCCGTATTGGAGGAGTTTGTGTAAGCTTTGTTTTAATCTCGAATCTATCCTCACTTGATTACGGCGGTAAGAGTACAATAGACATTAACAGAGTACCGCTCATAGCGGTTTAGTGTGTAACATAACCTTGAGCCGCCCTACCTCTAGCAAAGCGTGGTAGAATGAGTGAGTCAGGAGGTCACCCACCCACTTGCTGACCATTATCGTTACCATGATCGGCAGGAGAAACTGGATATCATTCGTCATCTCCATCTGATGTGGTTGAATCAACATCGTCGTAGATCAGTGACGTAATCAAGGTGAAGTTAGAGTTGATTTAGGTAAGATATCGTGATTAAAATCTTGAATCATATGATTATCGATCAGAAATGCAGGACTAAGATGATATGTTGAGGATAGCGGCCATATATATAGCTATATCGATATTTACATCAACACAAATATTGCCACATAATGTTATAAATATTAAACGTGCAACAGTACCAGAATAACAGCCAGTGACATGGTTAGTCGGGACACTCCACCAAAGAAGGAAGCAGCCCCGATAAGAGCGAAGGCTCCAGGGTCGAGCCATGCCCAGAAGGGAGTTGTTTTTACTCCGAATATCAGAATTGCCAGACAGCCTACCAGTCGTCCAAATAATCCTCCAATCAACCTGGGTGTTTGTAAGATAAAGGTCGAAAGTTGTAGAAATAAAGATCACGTGATTTATCTAGAAAATACCATCTGTATCTACGGAAAAGTTAAACAATTGCAACCAGAATTATAGTTGTTAATCGTTCAACTCAATAAAAAATAACAGTAAATATCAGTATAATATACAGTTGTCAGTACTCACAACATTGGCACAACTAGCCCGGAAGCAATGCTGGTTCCAGCAGTCCAGCAAGCTAGAGGAAAGTAAAGAAGGAGCGCTATTGCTAGAGGGAGAGGCGGTATCTCGTTGTGAGTCTGCCGCGAGAACAGGTGGTGTATCGCTTCTTCTCCTGAGTACAAAGTGTTAGGATTACGAATTATGACGATCTTGTAAAGCAAATTCCTGTCAAGGGCTGTTCAAATATATCATGTAATTCCTACATCACCCTTTTGCAAATGAAATATATTTTTACAGTGTAAACCGCCATTAACAATGCAGTTGGAACATAAATCACGATACACATCGCTTTCACACGTCCAGCAAAGATCAAACATTGCCGGGTGACTATTTCAAGATAACTGAGAGTCATAGTTCCGACTTCCGCTTCTGTTTACAGTTGTGAGTACAATCCACCTCATGAAGATCGGATACATTATAATGAGCCAGAATGCCAGGGTACCTGTAACTAGAACATAAACAACCGTCTAAAGCGCAGTTCTTAATTATTTCATCCCTGATCCTTGTTTATAACTACAAGGTTGATAGGGTAACTAAAATTATATGGGGGCTATACAAATCCCAGTTTATACAAATCCCAGTTTCTGAGTGTAGTGTTTTAAAACTCCACCTACCCAAAAGTCATCAAGTGTCCTGTGTCACTCAGAAAGTTAAATGGGGAGAGACATTGCACGACAATCTTGACAAGTATTGGATGCGTAGGTATTTAACGTATAACACATACATCTAGAGTGACACTTATTTTCGCCCTTCTTTCGAATATGCTTTTATCGCTCGCGCGTCATTTTGAGGCACGTGACTTCGAGATGCTCAATTATCTATGACCGGAACTGTTTGAGTTACAGTTCGGGGTTGTACCATAACTACTTTGTCATTACTTTGTCATCACTTTGTCACTCGAGTTGGGACACATTTTGTCTAGGATATTCAAGGTTTCATGATCAAACCTGCTTCAAAATGATAAACAAAAAGTCACTATAGTCGAGGAAGATTAACACAGTAAAACCATGGTTGAAAGTTAGAACTATGGTGGGGGCTTTGAGGGTCGCTTGCCAGTTTCCGCGCTTCTTGTCGCTTTATGATCCGTCATGATTATTTCATATTCCGCTGATGTTACAGCTGTTCGACGTTCGTTACTTTGGGTGTGATCGATATTTGTGGACGCGGCAAATAGTATCAATTTGGGAATAATAAGTAATTTTTTATCGAATAAAACTGCATGCAGTTTATATCGGTGTGATATGACGTAAAGAAATTACAAAAATATATTGCATTTAAAATTCGTCAAATATAGCTACATTTCGACCAGTGGGTTTCTAGTGATAAATAAATCAGCGCACAGTGGAATAAGTTTTTCCAAATAGTTTGTCATTCCTTCGTGATTAATCAAGAATCATCAGAGATCTTCAAGTTAGAGCAACATTGCATGAGGTGAGAATCTTTCATAGATAAGAAGGTTGAAGGATACCAAACAGTTTGACATTATCCTCCTAAGAGATGCTTAAAGGCTAAATCCAATAACCGGTAGCAATTTGGCTTGTCCTAAACCTTGGCAATTGGTCGAGTGTTTGTATGAAGATTGTCTGCAGGTGTTTCAGAGAGCAGTTTGTACTGTAGTAGATTGTTCCGTTCTTACTGAAATATTGGCGACCCTGTCTTTACACACCAAGTTTCTCACAAAATATCTAAATGCGCTGCAGATGATAAGAAACGACAAGGAATTAAATGCAGATTGAATCAATGGGATTCCTTAAATTGCAGAGAATTGAATAAAGTCAGTCCCTGTATGGGACATCTTCCAACCAGAATTATCCAACGCGAATATTGTAAAACTAAAGCTTACGACTGATATAAGAACGAAATCATTAAAAATCGTCATCGCGATCATAAACACGATTCCTTTGCGAATATTTCGACTGGATACTTCGGATGAGGCGGTGTCAGAGTTTCTCAGATAACGAACAGTAAGAACACTAAAACACTCGCCGGACAAGCAGCCTAAGTCACCTCGAGCGTACATTAAGGGTAAGTTAATTTCTCTAGTATATATATAGTGTAAGTTTCATTATATGGAAAGAATGTTTGGGCGGATCTGATGTAAACCAAGGGTTGCTGAAAATAATCTAGCAAAAGAAGTAGTTCAGGATTCATTACATCTCATTAACACCAGAAGAGAATGTGAGGTAGTTAGCGGATTTAGCCATCTCAGCAGCTGGAATGTGAGAATGTCAACCCATTTTGGAGTTTGGAGCTGGTACAGTTTTATCAGATGGGAAGGGTCATCAAGAAGTAAGTGTCTAATGTCTGCAGAAAGTGTTTCTCAGCTGAGCAGAATTGTAGCAAATTTTTTGTTTTGTTTTCAGTGGTAAGCAATCATAATCATAAACAGGTGATGGAAATTCCGATAGTATCTCGTGAATGCTGAGATATGCCATTTTTCAGCATTTGTATCATCATGAAATTCACACAGCTGAAATTCTCTATAGTAATTTCTATCAATAACAAGAAAAATGACTTTGTAATTACCCTTCTAGCATCTACACGTAGAGAGGGTGAAATTTGATCATTTTCTAAATAAACAAAGTTCAACTACTGTATATATAATCAATTATCAATCTACAATACCACTAGTATGTATGATAAAATAAGCGATCTCATCAGGAGGGGTTAATACTTCAGATCAGAAATATATCAGATAAAAGTCAGATAACAAACTTCTTTTTGTAATTGCACATTTTTGTAAAATGCACATTGTAGTCTTGACAGTCATTGTGACACTTCCATTTGAGGCTGCTGAATCTTCACAGAGCAGTTGTGTGTTGATCAGTTACATGTGTCACCAAATCAGTGTTAGTGCCCACTTTGCTTTGATACACCAACTTCTTGACAAAAGCTCTAAATGCGCTGCAGATGAATAGAAACGAGAGCGAGTTAAAGGCAGATTGGATCAACGGGGTCCCATAAATGTCTAGAAAGAGAATAAAATCCAAACTTGTTGAGTAATATTTCCATCCAGATTCTTCTGTTAATCGGCTCCCAATGTTTTGTCCAACGGCTGATAGAAGGACAAAAACATTAAAGATATTCATCACAATCAGAGAAATGATTCCTCGTCGAATATTTCTACTCGAAGCTGTTGATGAAGCAGTGTCAGAGTTCTTTAGATAAACAATGGTCAGAATAATGAAAGATCCACCAAGCAATATGAATAGGCAGGTCAAACCACTGTTGATGTACATCATAGGATAGACATAATTTGTAATGTAAGATAAATCCTCTGAAACAAATACTAAGCCAGTGATTCTCATGTATCCAAAAGTCTGTTGAAAATAATCCGGTATACGCATCAAGAAGGAATACAAAAAGAGGAAAACAAGAACTGCAGAGAAGACTAAATTCCGTTTTATGGCTGAAGATAAAGGACGCACTATACCTAAGTATCTAGAAACACAAGGTACAACCAATAGCAACATCTCAAACTTGTTCAAAGATACCATGAAGTTGTTAGAATGCGCAGTCCAATGGATAGAGCTGAGGTCCTTGACCGGCATGATATAATAGTAGTCCGTGTCGCTCAAGGGTGAAAGAAGTTTTGGGATGAGAACCAAAGGGAAGTAGAGACTTTTGAGCTGATCTATCAAGCTAACGAGCAGAAACAGAAATGTGGCAAATGTTTTCTTTTGTTTTGAGTGGTAAGCGATGATGAAGGGGTTGAGGAAAATCCCGATAAGAAAGCAGAAGATGAACAGTATGGCGAAGAAGTAGTTCAGGAAGTCATCCCAGTTGTTGCCGTCCCTCAAGAAATAAGTCCCATTCGAAACTTTAATCCCAGCTTTTCCAAAGATTGCCATAACTTTCTAGGTCGTTAAAAATAAGGATTACAGGTGTTATTATTTATTTTATGACATCATCATTTTAAATACTATTATATAAATACACTAAACCAATTCGCAATATATACGTATACCAGTAGTCAGAACTCGGAAGTCAGAACCATACTGAGGAAGAGCACATAAAACAGGGCTAACGCTCTAGTGAGTCTTATCTCAGCAACCCACCCAGCTGAATGCTACTTGAAGGAGGCTGAGCAGCATTGAAAACCATCGAGCAAATGACGTTGAATTTAATTATAACGTGGCCACAGGTGCTGATCTTGGAATAAATTTCCGACCTTATCATGTACAGGGAGGAGTCTAAAATTATTAGTTACACAGAAAATATAGTCACGTGCTTCCAGAGCAGCTGATAAGTAGTAACTGAAATAGTCAGTCCTTAGTATGTTCACGTGGATAACTGGCGACTGTGTGATGTCAGCCAAACCTGAAACCCAGCTTATTTTCAACTTTATAGCAGCAATGATAGCTGACCTCGTACGTTGATATTGATGATAAGTACAGGTCACTACAGTGCACACGTGGAACACAGGTCTCCTGGATCTATTACCAATTTTTTGCTCTGGAGCAAGGTAATAAATAGTATAGTTTTGGACACCGATAACTATTATTCCGAATCTTACGCAAAGCGGTTCTTATCGGTAATTGGAGGCGAGAAGGGTATCAAGATTGAAAACTACAAAATAATATCTCTATCATCATGACACGGCTCCTTCTTATCATAACATTAATTTCAGAGGCCGCAGACCAATTTATTTTTTGAGTAAGGTAACAACAGATGTTCAACAGACTGTATTAATGAAGGAATCAGATCAAGCTGAAACAATAGCTAAATATGTAGTGCCCTCCTTGCGCAGAGCGCACGATCAGGTTATTACTGCAACTCAGTGACAGAGCTTTTCAAACGTGATTAGATAGAAATCTGGGTCGTAATATGTATTTTAAATCAAATTAGTATAATATAATATAATGTATGTGTTATCATGAGTAAGGTAACATATTATTATTGATTATGTGCACCTCCTGATTGCGTAATGACTGCAATACAATTAAGCACGAAAATCTGGTAACGTATCAGGGACTCGTGACGTATCCTAATTGATTCATGCATCATGGTAGTTCGGAGATTTAGTCATGACAATTTGAAATCAAGATCACGGGTGTGAACACCTATACAAACCTTATAAGGTCACAAATCGTTTAAGGGACGAGGACCACCCAAAAGTACGCTCTAAAATCGTAACTATAACAATTACATCAGTCACACTAACGACCTAATGAGAGGTTGAGTGCTGCGTCACTGGCCAGCCAGGAGACAAATTCACTTCCTCCGGGGACCGGGGAGCTGCTGAGATTAAAAGATAATGTGATCATTCTAGCTGTGCTCTGTAGTTGCTGTTTGGTTAGTCTTCCTCTACACGTTTAACTGGGACCGTATTTCTAATAACATAAACCCGCCACGCAAAGGGTTTATATAACAGATCATCCCGCGCTAGCGGGATGATCTGATAAACACATACGAGTGCGCGTAGCGCACGAGTTTTGTGTTAATATGTAATCCCGAAGCGCCAGCTGAGGGATTACATTTATTTAGCCCTGAGCGTGAAGTGTTTATGGATTATAATTATCTCCGGCGATTTCGACAAGGGATTTATACAGAATACATAGTCTTCATCTTCAAGTCAAATCCAACAGAAACAAGAAAGCACTCTAAAATGTAGTTGAGTCGTTGAACAGGAATTTGGTCAAAGTCATTGAAGTCACGAGCAAATCTGGATGACTGAAGCCAAGAATTAAATTTGTTTAGAGCCCAGTTGTTGACTCTAACTGTACTGTCCGGAACACGATTGGAAAGCAGTTCATCAATCTGAATGTCAAACCGATCTGTCATAGTGGAGCAATAGCTTGAACGTTAGCAGGAACAAGAGCTGGAAGGAGAGCAAGCAAAACAATACTATTTTTAGGGCACGGACAAGGGTAGCTGGCTAGTCGCCAACTTCTCACGCCACGCGTTGGAGAAATTCCAAGAATTAGCTGCTTTGGCAACGTTCCCAGGAATTTGCGTGTAAAAGAAGTGGACGGTTACGATGTTTCATATCACGTGGTGCGCTTTCGTGTCACGTGGTATAGACTCGGCGTATGCTATTGGTGGCACGTGGTACGCACGTGACGCGCCCACGTGATCGCGCGTCTAACTGTTCTACTATTATCGAGTTCTAATCAGCAGTATCATTGATTATTGTAAGTCGGAGAATTGAATGATAAACATCAGTTACGACTAAAAAGCGGGCCGGGTTTATACAAATTTCCGGGGCGGGATGATATCACCTTGAGATGTTTATCTAACAGCGGGCCGGGCTGAGTGATAATATGATCCCGCGTCGAAATCCCGGAGATATTTATACAGAATTAAGTTCTTGTAACATTTGAGTGCTTGTTCCTGAACTTCTTTGTTCTGTTGCCGGCCCTTGTCGCTGCCTTTATTGTTCCCAGAGAAGTTGTGGCACTCTTTCCACGACTTTTAAGTTTTAAGTAGAAGATTAAGGAGAACTTGTTTCTAGAGTGGAACTTCACTACAGTGCCAAGTACAAAGTACAAAGTTTGGATATTTTAGTTGTTTGCTCTCGGTTCAGAGGCGAACCTAAAAGCCTGTTTTCAAAGATGTAGTTTGAAAGTTTTAACTTACAGTCTTTTCAGTGAATAACTGAGTAATGTTCATTACATAAGAAAATTTCTTTATTGTTGTTCTCGGCAACTAAGATGTACAAAGTTGATGTTGTTCTTTTCGTATGTTTAAACAAACTAAATATAGAAACTCCCCCAGAACATGACTGTCAACGTTACGCATCCATACAACACAACTCCCGAAGAAGGTATAGGAGCTTTTGTTGTTCCCATAGAAACTCTAAGACCTTTCCTCCTTCCCGAAAACAACTCCGACAACAATATAGAGTACTACCACTCCACAAACTATCCAGACACATATTCCCCAAATATAGATACTATAATGGGTTCAGCAGCGATTCTGTTAAGTGTAGTAGGAGTGTTGGGAACATCTATCAGCTCTCTACTTCAGACAGGGACAACGCAAGTCTCTTCACTACTCTTTTTACTCTATCATAACGGTGTGCGATGCTCTGACCTCAGCAGCAGCGTTCCCCGTTATCACCTCCCTGCTCAGCTCCAGATCCCCAGTTTTATTTGAGCACTCCTTGGTGTGCATCACGTGGCCGGTATTCTACTACCTGGTTTTCAGGGTATCAATGCTGATAGTCGTACTGCTAAGTGTGACACGCACCATCTCTATTGTCTACCCCATGAAACATATCAAACATTACGCCAACAAGATGTTATGGGGAGTGGTGGGTTACACAGCCCTGCTCCTAACTATTGACATTGTCTTCCTCTCCTTTAAATGGGTCGAAGATCACTACTATAAATACCTATCTCTCTGTGAACTAGCAGCAATTCAGTCAAAGGAGGAGGGTTCCAAGGAGGAGTACTCCACATCAGCTCGTCTCTACTCCATCCTCCTGCAACTGGAACTTATCCTACCTTGTCTCCTGGTATTTGCTAGTTTCCTTACCAGCACTGTCGTTCTGATGAGGAGGAAAGCTACGCAGTACACTCATATTAACAGTAAAAATGAGAAGAAGTTCAAGAGGGTCTCCATCACGATAGCACTCTTCACGGCCCTGTTCTTGGTGTGCTATCTGCCCTGTTTCCTCCTGCAGGCTCTCTACTTCGTCACCATGTTCCGACCTGTCCCTCGAATACTTGAAAATTCAAGTTTTCCTTACAACGCTCATCTTGTTGCTCAGTTTCTTCTTCCTCTCCTGAATTCCGCTGCCAATCCGTGTCTCTATCTGTTACGGATGTCTCAGTTCGTGAAATGGCTGAAAGTTGTGGCTGAAGACCCGAGTAGGATTATAGTTCGCAACAAATATGTCAACATGAATTCCAGCAGCCTCAGGATGGGATCTAATGTCAGCAAGATGGGATCGTCTAAAAGTAGAGTATCCCTGGGGAGCCACAACACCCTGTCTCGCAATACTCTTGAAGTAAAATCTACACTTTGAAGTACTCAACAATCTTCAGAATCATAAAAATGCTTCCAACTCTCAGATGTTAATCACGAACTTGAATATTGGTCAGTAAAGAAAGAAGTTATGGAAGAGCCTGATCAAGAAAACTGGAAGATCGCGTGATCCCATACAACCTCTATTGTATTTACTGATTTGGCTACTGGTTGAAGTTTACAGGGTCTGAATATTTAGTTTTTTCGACGACCCCGATTTGACGCATTATAGTCGTTTGAACTCATCGGTGTATAATATATTTTCACTGTATAACGTTTATATTTAAGCGTCTATATTCTATATCTAAACTTTAAATAAAGCTACAGTTATGAATCTATGAAATTAAACTGACCAGAGGAAAAGAAGATGGTAGCAAATGCGTTGTAAGTCCCATTAAAATACTCTGTCCCATTGACAGTAACCGTGTCCTCGTGTTTACAAGTGAACGTCTCTACTGTCAGTTCCGTGTGAAACAGTTCACCTCCCCCGTGTCCCAGACACTCTGGACTGAAATATATACAGGTCATTGGCTGAGATCTATTACGTGACGTCATTTCATTGGTTGAGATCTTGTATCCTGTGAAGGTAACTACAAGTTGTAGTGTGTACCGGTGCGGATACTTACATGGTATGACAGAGGTCGCGATAAACGATCTACTTGAGACAAAAAGCGTCTATTTATTTAAAATGTCTATTTATTTATTTTGATTTGGATTTATTCAAATTTGTGTAGTGAGAATTTGGGTAGTAAGGATTTGTGTAGTGAGAGATAGACGAAGCACTTCCATGAATATTAGCTATGGAACGGAACGATTGAAAATGTTAACCGTATTGAGGTTAACTCCTTATTATCTTGAGATTGAACAAGAACTTTGGCAACTTGATAATGACCCGACGCACGGTCGGCACACGATGTTATGGAGAATTGACACACGCTGTAACCCCTTTTGAGCGCGCGCGAAGCGCGCGCGGCCGGCCGACCGGCGTGCACGCTTCGCGTGCACGAGAGGTATACAACGTGTAGCAAATGGAGAACGGCAATAACTGAATGACACCCCTCCTTTACCCCTCACATAAGCGTGCTATATTGTTCCTATGTCTAGATCTGCTTAGTAGGTACCTTGTTTTCTATACCTATCTTACCCTTTCTTTATATTATAGAGTGTGGTTACCCTCTTTTGTATTATAAGATGTTGAAATTAAAATGTTTACAATGTTTGTATAGAGAGCGATTAGCACTCCAAGTGATGTGATTATTCAATAGAGTATTGTGGGCACCATTTCACAATTCTATATACAATGCTATACAATATATTTTGGAGTGTTACCATTGATAACCTGATGTAGCCGTGAACTTGTGTCTTATCTCATTATATTCTGGTTATACAGGGGGGGGGGGGGTATGGAGGGAGGTGATAAATCTGCATGGACCGTGTGCCGACCGTGGGGCTATTACCAAGTTGCCGTAAAATCGAAAAACAAACTGTCCGGTATGGTCATTCATCTATTGCTTTATAATAAAGCGGCCAAAACTTGCTGTCCTGAAATAATATGTGAATAGTCCAGGAATGATATAACTGCAAGAAAAACACAAACCTAGTCCCGTTGAATAAACACTGAGGTAGGTGGCATGGGAAGAGGTCGCTAACTAGAACCTTCAGAGTGGACACTATCGCCATTATCAGGATAGGTTCAAACATCTTTACAAAGGAAAGGAGGTGTCGGTTTGAAGCACACTTGTCTTGGACTATCTTCCTCACTCGTACGATCTAGAAATTGTTAATTTAAAAGTTAAAACAGTGCTCGTTTATGTCGACTAACTTTATAAAATAAAGTCAATTTAATTTTATTGACCTTTGGTAAAGTTTCACAAATAAAGTTTCACAAATCGAAAAATGTAGTTTTAAAATGCATGAGAAATTAATTGCGCGTATTTTTTGATTAACATACGATTATCTAAAAGATTGATTGATTAATCAATCAGTCTCATTCCATTTTGATGAGAAACTAACTTTGAGGTTAAGAAAGGTGAACATTGCTCCTAAAACACCCCCAATGCCGCCCAACAGAATAGCGGGTATAAAAACAAGGAGGTTTAATGGAATGTAGTTCTCAACATGGAAGATTATGTAGTTGTCCTTCTGGAACAATCCAAAGTTGCCCGTGTACTCAAACTTATCGAACGCCGAGTTGAACAGGTCCTGGAGAGTATTAATAAGGGGTCGTTCACATACAACGTTATAATGTTTTGGCCAATTTATACCCCCCCCCGGCCCCCCGTAAGTTTTACAAAATCACACTTGTGTTATCATTTAGTAACTCCATCCTTCCCCCTCAGTGAAAACGTAATATGTGAGCGACCCCTAAGTGTAGGGGTGTAGGGTGATATAGTTATTAATTTTTAATAGCTTAGTTTACTTTTTGATACCACTCATGTTTGCTTATTGTACATAATCATTAAACAAATCAGTTGACATAACGATCTCGGTTAAATGATATTTAGTAGAACTAGACATGTAAATTATTGATATTTTGCGGACTGTTAAGACGAATTTTGTTGAAAAACTCGATTTAACAGTACAGTTCCAATTAAGAGACTGCCTCTGATTGTCAAATGGCAGAGGCTACAATTTTTACACAGAAAAATCTGTACACCATGAATTCCTTGTTAGATCACATTCTGAAACTAGGATCACATGACTCACGGCTGTGAACGCTGAAACCATACAACAAAAGAATGTCTGCCAGCCTAACTTGTCACTCCAGAAACTAGACACTTCCTCCATAGCGAAAAGGAGCCCTCCTACTGGTGCTCCGAACGCGGCACTTACCCCGGCTCCAGCACCAGCCGTGAGGAAGTTTCTCCTGACAGTCACAACAAATGTGATATCTTTGTTGTGTATTGGAACAGTGATGGTACCATGTAGCCAGCGATACAGTGGTTTATACAATAACTCACATTTGCTGACATTTCACGGCATCAATCAAGGAACACTTTACTTGTAAGGAAGTGAGATACAGTTATTTACTCACCCTCTCTCCAATATATTAAATACAATTCTCATCCTATATATCATGTATATTGTATATTGTATATTGTATATCTAAATCACACTTCAGAGCCTGCTAAAGACAGTCAAATATTCTGTAGCAAGCTGCAAGTATATCAAATTACTTGTGCTGATATCTAGTTACATACCAATATTGTTTGTACACACTGCGTAAGCAGATTGTGAGATAAGATAAGGCGTATACTACATACCTGTCTTCAGAATTACGGAGCCTCTTGAACAGGGCGATATCTATCTTTAACACTTTAGACTTGAACTGGCTAACACTTGCGCCTATCAGACCGCTGGAGGATATAGAAGCGCTAAGTTCTGATACCTTTAAAAATTCGATTTTATTACTCAAAAGTAATTAAATCCCGATATTTTTTGGTCACCATTGACCATCTTGATATATCTGTGAAATTGAATCCCAATTTTCATTAATGTTCAATATTCATTAAAATTATATCGGATAGTTCATCAAATAACTAACAATTTGAACCTACCCTAAAGCAATCATAGGACCCTCAGGTCCCACAGGCATACCCGACCCAACAGCAAGGAGACAGGAAATAAATTTAACAATGTAGGTTTTAAGTGAGAATATTCTCCGTACGTTAGTACCGTTTAGATACGCAATCAACTCTGGTAATCCTGACCCCCCAGCAGCTGGGCAACAGAGCTGAAAAGAGAGGGGTGTCCGTGTTATGTAGTGCGAATAGGAAAATAGAGATATTAGGTATAGATAAGGGAATATTTTCTTTCAAAATCTCAAATTTAGAAAAGGAAATATTTGCGGGGTAAATCACACCCGCAATTATATACACTCACCACGACACAACACGACGACATATATATATACTCACAACGACATATATACTCACGACGACATATATACTCACGACGACAATAGAGGAGCTGAGAAGAACAAGGATAACAGAAATTCCTGTCAGAATAACCCAACCTCCCATAATATCCCCTATTTCTATCTGTCTCATAGCCAGGTCGTGCATGTTCTCTGATATAATACCTATACCTGTAATACATTTTGTATTGTAACAATAAGTTAATGTCTTTATACACATCTGCCTCGGCCCTCGAGTGAAGGTTCGTATAACATATGATTAAGTATTTTTATAGGTAAATACTGAAATTTCCACATATATATCTATATTATGTTTCGATTAACAGGCTCTGCTCTATTGGTCGGGCTGGTCATTTAGAATGCGATGGTGATGGCTGGTTACATCAGGTCGTCAAGTTATATTTTAAAGCCGAATCCGCCGTTTTCCAGCTTTTTACCACCATATAAATTGTAAATATCATTGTAACCAGCTATTACAAAGCGAGTGAGAGAAAACAGGTGCTTACTGCGGTGGATAAAAGCCTGGCGAGGTGCATGTTGCGTCTTATTCTTTATTTAACGATAAAATAGCATCCTTTAGAAAACATTTGCTAAAAATGGAGGTTACCACTCAACCTCCATATTAATACTTACAGAGAAACATTACTTTTTGAAAGTTAACATTATTTAAAAGAAACTGGATCCAGGCGGTCATTGGCTCTTTTCCAAGGTCCTCCAGTCAGTGTTCTTAGTGAACACTATGTTCATGGTAGCTTGTAATATGTCGCAGCGAATGGTAAAGACCCGTCAGTGTGAGATTATCTTACAGTGAAATAAAGAAAGGAGTCGAAGCAGGTACCCAGACCAATGACATAACAATGCTTTATTCATGAGCATTGCATGAAGAGGGTTCCTGTTTTATTGTGGCAAGCAAACCCGTTGCTAATTCCCCCACAAACCAAGCATTAAGACAAAGGCCATTAGAAAAGCCATGGATCATACCCTAGGTGAGAGCGCCTTGGGTTTATTTTTAGAACACACTCTACGATTAAGTTGAGCACAGTGGTTTCTGGGCATGTACTTTTTGATATTAGTATTACTCCAATGTCCTTTAACTGGGCTTAATTAATTGTCCCTTAACTGTGCAGCGTGCCGTAACGCAGTGGCGTAACGGAGGCCCCCGCTGTAAGGGGGGAGGGGGCAGGGGGCAGGCGCTATCTTAGGGGGCGCAAAATCGTCGTTTGAATGCGGGATAATTTTGAAAAACTTAACTGAGGTAATAGCAAAACTGTGTGTTTTGCTCTAGAAATACACTTTATTAGAGATTTTAACGGCGTATCCTCTAAAAGTAAAATCACCTAACTTGTTCAATTTATGGAGGGGTGCCAAAAGGGGAGGGGGCGCCAACAGGGGGGAGGGGGGCTCATCTTCGGCGGGGGGTGCCAACAGGCAACGTTACGCCGCTGCCCTAACTGTGCCTTAAAAGTGGCTTTACCGTACTTTACGTGTCCGTGCGTTTATAAGGGGTCGTTCACATATTACGTAATCATTTTTTGGAACATTTTTACCCCGCCCCCGCCCCCCCCCCCCCTCCGTAATCAATTTAACAGATAGCTATATTGTGTCAAAATTACACTAACGTAATTATTTTGAAACCCCCTTCCACCCCCCCCACCCCCTCAGCTGATTACGTAATATGTGAACGACCCCTAAGCAACCCCTGTGTGTTGTCCGCGCTTAACCGTCCCTTATGCTTTCAGGTGTCCCTTAGGCTCTTTTCCAAGGTCCTCCAGTCAGTGTTCTTAGTGAACACTATGTTCATGGTAGCTTGTAATATGTCGCAGCAAATGGTAATTGGTAAAGACCCGTCAGTGTGAGATTATCTTACTGTGAAATAACGAAAGGAGTCGAAGCAGGTACCCAGACCAATGACATAACAATGCTTTATTCATGAGCATTGCATGAAGAGGGTTCCTGTTTTATTGTGGCAAGCAAACCCGTTGCTAACTCCCCCACAAACCAAGCATTAAGACAAAGGCCATTAGAAAAGCCATGGATCATACCCTAGGTGAGAGCGCCTTGGGTTTATTTTTAGAACACACTCTACGATTAAGTTGAGCACAGTGGTTTCTGGGCATGTTCTTTTTGATATTACTCCAATGCCCTTTAACTGGGCGTGCCGTAACTCAGTGGCGTAACGAAGACCCCCGCTGACCCCGCTGTAAGGGGGGAGGGGGAGGGGGAGGGCGGAGGGGGGAGGGGGGAGGGGGGGAGGCGCCATCCTAGGGGGGGCGCAAAATCGTCGTTTAAATGTGGGAAAATTTTTTTAAACTTAATTGAGGTACTAGCAAAACTGCGTGTTTTGTTCTAGAAATACACTTTATTAGAGATTTTAACGGCGTATCCTCTAAAATCACCTAATTTGTTCAATTTATGGAGGGGCGCCAAAAGGGGAGGGGGCGCCAACAGGGGGGGGGGGGGGGGGGGGGGGGGGGGGGGGGGGGGGGGGGGGGGGGGGGCGCATCTTCGGCGAGGGCGCCAACAGGCAACGTTACGCCGCTGCCCTAACTGTGCCTTAAAAGTAGCTTTACCATTTACCGTACTTTACGTGTCCGTGCGTTTATTAAAGCAACCCCTGTGTGTTGTTTCTTAAGCTAAATTATGTCTACCGACAGATTACCGAAATGCCCCATCTGGTAATGACTGTCGATTAAATTCAAACCGGTTGAGTAGCGAGGAGGGCTCGTTTTCAAATGAATTTCACCACGACAGTCTGGCCACGAGGAGTTTTCACACCCCTAGAATGTCATATCATGAAACAAATAAAGTTTCCAAACCGTTAAGTGGAATAAATCGGATACGCTCACGTATAAAATGATAATAAGGGTTGTCAACATTCCGTCGGCCACTTTGGCTAGCTCTAACTCTAAGTCTAACGTTCCATTTTGTTTTCCATTTTGGGATGAAACAGCTAAAGCCAGAAGATAATCAACTTTTGATTTTAGTCTAGCCTCAGGGATCGTTCACATACGTAATCAAGGTTTTGGCCATTCTAAACTCCTCAACCTCTCCTGTATAAGTAGCATAATAATGATTATATTTGCTTACAATGCAATTTGGCTCTGATAACCCAGTTGAGATATTATTATTTTTTAGAATATATCCAGGTTATAAAAGTAAAACCTTATTTCGCTTTAGGAAGCAACACAGAGTTGGTGCAAATTTTTGATGTTGTGGTGATAAATTGCCATTTTTCTCTTTTAATGACAGCTGAATTTTTTGGTAAATCAGGTTCAACAGCAAGTTCAGCACCTCAAGCTTATTTAACGTTTAATTCGAATCTCGTGCTGTACAGTAGTATTGTATCTCATAATACCCTGTATTACTTCGACCTACAGTCCTACACCTTTTGCTTTTTGCTGAAAGGTGACAATTTATCAGCATTGAAGACTTTACTAAAGTTGCTGCAGTTTTTTAAATTTTCACGTTTTAATCTTAAGCAAATTACTATTTACTCAATTGCAGAAATTGCAACTAGGCTATATTTTTTTGCGTATAGGCACAGAGTTTTAACTTGATTTCGTCCGCGAAGCGCAATTTGTTCCTCCGTTGAGAGTTTTTAATGCAGCTTTTGAAATTTTTACGTTTTTATCTTACTAAATTACTACTTACTTAACTGCTGTGATTGCAGAGATTATAAATTATTTGTTTGCAGCCACAGTTAAAGTTTTTTAACTTGATTTCGCCGGCCGAAGCAAAATGTTTTCCTCCGTTTTAGAATTATCACTTCGAGATGGCAGGGCCTACTCTCATGCTGTCTATAGGTGATGATTAATTCTGAAATACATCACCTATAGACAGCATGAGAGTAGGCCCTGCCATCTCGAAGTGATAATAATAATTAAATGTTTCGCAGATTGGCAATTGATCGGTGTAGTTGGTGTTGTACACACTGCACTGATAACGATATCACGTTGAACGTGTAATGTAAATATAGTGTGGATACAAGCGAATATATATTCTAAATAACTGATAAATGATATTCCACACAAAGCATGAAATTATGCTGTATATGAGTGGTGATTTCGCTCTGGGAATCAGGGTCAGTAGCTCAATTGGTAGAGCAAGGCACGCGAAATGTCGAGGTTCTGGGATCATTCCCCAGTTGTCCCTAGTTTTTCAGAATTAATCATCACCTATAGACAGCATGAGAGTAGGCCCTGCCATCTCGAAGTGATAATAATAATTAAATGTTTCGCAGATTGGCAATTGATCGGTGTAGTTGGTGTTGTACACACTGCATCACTGTATCACGTTGAACGTGTAATGTAAATATAGTGTGGATACATGCGAATATATACAGGGTGGCCCAAAAGTGACTACCCACACGCAACCTCTTAATAACTAACGTAATTCGTCTCCAAATTGCACCAAAATTTCAGAGATTATAGATATGGGTCAAACTTAGATTTCCTGAAAGTTTTGTAAGCCACGCCCAATTACAGTGGGCGTGGCGTGACACTCCCTCTTTTTCACTATTGTCTTCATAAAATGAGAACGCTTTAAGCTAAGAACTCCAAATTTATTGCACACATTTGGCTTGATAATTTAAAACATTTCCCAAAGTTTCAAGTCCATTGTTTAAAATTTGGCTGAGTTATGACCATTTCAAAATTCATCGGATACGTGATCTGAGCACTCAGTCAGTGATCTTTGCACTCAATCAGTGATCTCGTCACCCAATCTGATCAAGAGTAAGGCGTTAGCGTGTATTAATGAGGTTCATTAGGCTTCACCAAACATACTGAGGAGATGACGACCTGATCATGATTGATTGGATACCGATAATGACTTTGCTAGACAGGAAAACACCAAATTCTTCGTAAAAGTAAGGTCCTAGGATTCCACGAGAACTGATGGCGCACCAGATCATGACCTTTTCAGGAAAATCGGGAATCACGGTCTAAAAGTTGGTGTTTTTGTTTGTGATCCGATAGGCCCGGTTAGAAAGATCTCGCTTTAGGATTCGTTGAAGGGATGTTCTGCTGAGGTCTAAGGCAGGAGTTCGTTTTCGGGTACCAATTTTAGGTGTATCCATCACGTCACAAACAACCATGGCCATGGTGATGTTTTCTTCGGTCCTCGCAGTTCGTCTTTTGCAGAAAAAGTGAACTTGATATTGTGATGCATAT